GAGTCTCTCCACAGGTAGTCTCTGGTCTGCTTAATAGAGATCTCAATCTGGACTTTGGTGATGCTGAATGGTCTTTGTGTCCTTACCCTGTAACAGCTATATCCCCTGAGTTATTGATAACTGCAGTTATTTCCTGGTGTCACAGGAAGACAGGCAAGGGGTTGTCCATCTTTATCAAACTTATCCTCCATTGATAAGCCCAACAAGTGCAGAATTTGCATGTTAAAGTTAACATTAGACTGTCTGGGAGCCACTGAGGCATCTCTGCAATCCTTCTGTAGGTGTCTGGGTTTCCTACATCTAAAGCAGACAGGCCTACCTAGTCTCAGTGCTTGTTTCTAATGGACAAAGACTTTGTTTTTGTTGACTCAGCAACCATCTGTGTTTTTACTGCTTTTGTAAGGCATCCAAGAAATCAGCAAAAGATTCTGAAAGGCTCAGGGATATTTTGAGGAAGGTCTGGGTAGGTTTCAGGCAGTTTTTATAGTCAGTGAAATGTGTTTTTTTCCCCTTAGATGAGGCTGTGGACAACAGGCAGTGGCTGTGACAGTGGCAGCCAGGAGAGAGACACACTTACCAGAAAGAAACTAAAGGAGGCAAACATGGAACAATGCTCTTCCCTGGACCCTTCTATATCTGGGCCACTGCAGGAAGGCGCCATTCACTCAGTTAATACTTCCTGGAAATGTCTTCCCAGAGATGTGTCTTAGTCGATTCTAGATTGCCAGAGTCCAACTCCAGTGGGGTTCTTATGCCTCAGGAAGGATGTGTGAAGTTGATAAAAACTGAGGAGTCTGACGATCAGTTGTCTTTCAAACTGATGGCCCCAACTAGCTCAGGCTGTCTTTATTTATACAGGTTCTAATGCATTTAAGCATGAGCAGTTTCAAAGCATTTCTCGTTAATCATTTTCCAAGAATCATTAACATTTTAGTTTCTCTTCTTTCTCACTCTTTTGACATCATTGGCCTTTACCCTATATCATTATATAGCAAGCCAAATGTTTGTATCTAGCTAGGTACATCTTATTCATACTGTGCCCTAGCTGGCAGCAAACATGCAGTTACAAAGTAAGAGATTTGAGTACTGTGATTAATTCTTAATAATATGAGGTCAGTAGAGTATATTGTGATGCCTAGAGTATCATTTTTAAGTGTATATCAGTTTCTGAGTAATCTGTATGTCAACTTTATCATGTGGATTGCAGTTATCTTATTTGTTATACGTTCTCAAAATAGTAATGATTAATACCTAAAACTTCAACTATTGAGACAAAGTTTCTTTATTCTTTCTGGCAATTTCTAAATGTACTTGTTCAAGAGGAACTAGGAGTTTTAGGTTCCTTTATTGATACTTTGATGTTGGAAAAATATCTGAGTGTTCATATCCTGGTGCCAGAGAAATGTCTGACTTTTAATGTCTTATCTCTTTTTCCTTCTGTGTTCCAATAGGGTTTTAATGTCATCTTTTAATAAACTGTTTTCTTGGTTCTTACATTCTTTGGGATATATTTATTTCTTTTTGGTATTGAATAAGCAATAAGCATTAACCTTAGTGAGTTCCTCCTGCTTATTCAGAAGGACTGCAAAGGCAGCCAGGGACAAATGGAGAAACTGGTTTCTGTAACCGATCAGAGAAATTCGGTTTTTCTTTTTCTTTTTCTTTCTTTTTTTGTTTTTTTTCGAGACAGGGTTTCTCTGTGTAGCTTTGGAGCCTATCCTGGCACTTGCTCTGGAGACCAGGCTGGCCTTGAACTCACAGAGATCGCCTACCTCTGCCTCTGGAGTGCTGGGATTAAAGGCGTGCGCCACCAACGCCCAGTGAAATTCGGTTTTTCTGTAAAGGCTTTTATTCCCAGTAAACTCAGGCATAATCAAGACTAACAAGGCAAAACTAAGAGTTTCCATAAGAATAAGCTTAGCAAAAGTTAGAGAAGCCTGAAGTTCATGAGCTTCCGAAGATCAGAGCAGGAGTTTGAAGTATTGTATCCATAGGTCCTTGCCAAATAGATGGAATTCTTCAAAGGGCCTTGCCTTCTAAGGAGCTCCATTTGCAGCACACCTATGCACTGTTTCCAAGAGTGACAGCATGGCTTCTGCCACTAGATCTTACGCAGGTGACACTTACACCACAGTAGGATTGGCTGGTTTTATAAGGATGGATTTTATGAATTCTTTTTTTTTTGGTTTTTTTCGAGACAGGGTTTCTCTGTGGCTTTGGAGGCTGTCCTGGAACTAGCTCTTGTAGACCAGGCTGGTCTTGAGCTCACAGAGATGCCTCTGCTTCCCAAGTGCTGGGATTAAAGGCGTGCACCACCGACGCCCGGCATGAATTCTTTACAAACGTTGGATGATAGTCCATCAGATAATACCTTCTTTAAAAATTTAAATTCTTTAATTACTACTCATATTTACATATCCATTCCCCCCATTCCCTTGCCCTCCCATCCTCCCATTTCCCCACCAATCCCCCCAACCCACCCCCCAACTCCTCTCCAGGGATAGTGAGGCCCTCCACCAGGGACCTTCAAAGTCTGTCATAAGATTTTGTTGAATGTGTTTTCTGTTACCTTTGAGCTGAATTTCTTCACCTTCTTCTATACCTATTATTCTTAGGTTTGGTCTTTTCCCGGTGTCCCATATTTCCTGGATATTTGTGTTAGGGATTTCTTGGACTTGAGATTTTCTTTGGTGGATGACTGTATATCCTCTAATGAGTCTTCAAGACCTGAGATTCTTTCTTCCATCTTTTGTATTCTATTGGTTATGCTTACATCAGGGGTTCCTGATCATTTACCCAGCTTTTCTATTTGCAGCATCCCCTCATTGTGTGTTTTCTTTGTTGTTTATAATTCTGCTTTCAAACCATGAACTGTTTGGACCTGAGATTCTTTCTTCCATCTTTTGTATTCTATTGGTTATGCTTACATCAGGGGTTCCTGATTGTTTACCCAGCTTTTCTATTTCCAGCATCCCCTCATTCTGTTTTCCTTATTGTTTCTAATTCTGCTTTCAAACCATGAACTGTTTGAATTGTTTCCTTCACTTGTTTGCTTGTTTTTTCTTGGCTTTCTTTAGATTCTTTAAGACATTTGTTTATTTCTTGAATTTTTTGGTTTGTCTTTTCCTCCATTTCATGTCATTTTTTTAAAAGATTTTATTTATTTATTATGTTTCCAACATTCTGCTTCCATGTCTATCTGCACACCAGAAGAGGGCACCAGATCTCATAAGGGATGGTTGTGAGCCACCATGTGGTTGCTGGGAATTGAACTCAGGACCTCTGGAAGAGCAGTCAGTGCTCTTAAACCTCTGAGCCATCTCTCCAGCCCCCATTTCATGTATTATTTTTTTTTTTGCTTTTTTTTTTTTCTATTTCTTTAAGGGATTTTCTTTTTTCCTCTTTAATAGTCTCTATCATCTTCATAAGATAATTTTTAAGGTCCATCTCTTCTTTATCCTCTGCATTGGGCTTATCACTTCTTGCTGGTATGGAGTCCCTAGATTCTGGTGGTGTCATATTGGTCTTTCTGCTGTTGAGTGTGTTCTTATTCTATCGTCTTCCCATCCCTTCTTCCACTGGGTGCAGGTGGGGTCTCTCCCTCTCTCAGGTGGCAGGCAGAGGGCTCAGGCTCAGGTGGCAGAGGGCGGAGTGGGGACATTGGTGAGGTGCATCTGGACTCAGGGTGGGCCTTCCGGTCTGGGCAGGTCCACTCTTGTCCAGGAAGAAGCGAGCAGGGGGTGATGGGGGAGGTTGGGGGCAGAGCAGTGCCCAGACTCACCTTAGACTCAGGCAGCAGCCAGAGGGCCAGATAATACCTTTTGCAATCAGTTTATGGCTTGTCTTCCCTTTGCTCCTTTGTTAGAGTAGAATATTTAGTTTTGAGGAAGGGTAGCTTTTAATAATTTCTTTCATGTACCCTGCCTTTGGTGTTGTATCTAAGGTCATCACCAAAACTCTTATGGTCTTCATTTCCTCCTGAGCGATCCTCTAGAAACTGTATTTGCATTTAAGTCTGTGATCTGCACTGGATTAACTTTTATGAAGGCTGGGTGGTGTCTTGCTTGTTTTGTGTGTATGGTCAGTCAATCCAGCACTGTCCTTTCACCACTGTATTGGCCTTCTCCTTTGCTGAAGATCTGTGGACTGATATCTGTGGGTCTATTTCTGGGCTCTTTATTCTGCTCCATTCATCTTTGTCCAGGTTTTCAAATACCATGCTGCTTCAGGTAGTGGGAGTCCTCTGGCTTTATCACTCATCACTGTGTCAGCTGTCCTGGGGGCTTTTACTTCTAAATTTTAAAATCAGTCTTTTTGTTTTTTTGTTTTTTCTTTGACACAGAGGTTGGACTCACTATGTAGCCAAGGATGACCTTGAAATCTTAATTCTCTTGCCTCCACCTGAAATGTGCTGGGATCACACTCTGGCTTTGTGTATGCATAGGAAAGCCACTCTACCTGCTGAGACAAATTCCCAGCTCTCAGTCAGCCTTTTGATACTTACAAAGTAACTTGCTAGGATTTTGATGGTGCTCTATTGACTCCATATAGCAGGTTGGGGAGAGGAGCAGCTACGCGGCCCCCCCCACCCGTGTGTGTGTGTGTGTGTGTGTGTGTGTGTGTGTGTGTGTGTGTGTGTGTGTGTGTGTTCAGGGTCTGTGTGTCTGTGTCTCTGTGTGTGTGTCTCTGTTTTAGTCTCTCTCTCCCTACCCCCTAATGAGCCAAATGAGGAGAGGGAGAGTGGAGGCTTGGCCACTGGTTTCCAGTTCCTTGTTGAGCAGGCCAGCTAGCTCTCAACCAGGTAGTGGAAGTCTGAGAAGGAGTGTCTAGGAGATAAGTGAAGGTCAATGGTAAGATATGCTGTGGCCCTAAGGAAACAGGTTTCTGACTCACAGAGGCACTGGGGCCTAGGCCCAACATGGGTGGGGAGATGAAAGCAGTTAGCTGACAGGAATTAGAGAGGACAGGGGAGTAAGAAACATTTAAAAATTAATCAAGCTATGGGGCACCAGACTCCATGCTGCTTGACCAGGTCACCTCTGGGTGAGTCTGTGTTCTTACCGCTAAAACTGGATCAGGAGAACTGGAAGCAGGAGAAATGTGAAGAGGTCTCTAAGAGGCCTGGGAACACCAGCCACTATAGGGGACCTCCTTCTGGCAGGGTACAGTGTCAGTGTCTAGAAATCCTATCAGGCAGAGGACAAAGCCTAGGTCTTGGGACAGGACCATGGGGCTGGAGACGCAGAGGGGTGCATCTGAGTCCTGAGAACTGGAGTGGCAGGGTGTAGAGCTGCAAGTATTAAAGGCCTTGCAGGGAGCTGAGGGGTTCTAGGCAGGAACTGCTCAGGATGCTCCAGGGTGGGATCAATGGAAGGGGCGTGTGTGTGTGTGTGTGTGTGTGTGTGTGTGTGGGGGGGGGTAATGGTCTGGGAGGGACGGAGATACAGGCTGGGAGGGGCGGGGCTTCTCGGCACCACCTCCAGCCTTTATTAGTTATGCGACCTCGGGTTCTGTCTCCGAAACGGTTGTCTTTAGGAAGCTCCGGGTGTGGGAGGATCTGTGTTCAGGGGCGCGTGCCTCCCTGCCAGTATCCTTCGGGCGGACGTTGAGCTCAGATGCTACGGTGGTGGGTGGCGCGAGCTGGAGCAGGTGCGGAGGAGCTGCGGTTGGGTGAGTGACCTCAGCGGGACCGCCATAAGCCGCACGGGCTGTGTGTGTCGCGTGCCACGGGCGCGTGGAGGCTTTCTCTCCACATTTCCTTCCTTTTTCTAATGTCACCCGGGTGGGAGCACAGTCTCAGGCAGCCTCCTGGAAAAGTGTCCGCAGGGAAATGGGAGCTAAGAACAGAGGAAGGCAGAAGGACACGGGAATCCCTGCAGATGGGGTGAGGCCCCACCCCTGCTTCATTAAACTTTTTGCCTCATTGAGCACTAGACTTATCTCTATTATACCTTTCGGTGCTCCTTTTCTCCTCACACTGGGTGGGCATTTTGTATTTTTCTTTGCCCAGCTTTTTTTTTTTTTCATTATAGATCTGCGTGATTACTAATAACGCAATGTCATTTGCCCTGTCAACAATTAGGTTGTCTTTAAATCTCTTCTTCTATACCATCAATCCAAAACTCTTCAATTTAGCCTCTGGCATATTTTTTTTTTTTTTTTTTTTGGACAAGGGCAGAAAGCAGCTACGTTCTTTGCCGAAATATCACAAGGATGGTCCTTAGGTCACTAACTAATTATTATTCTTTCCCTCTGAAACTTGAGCTGGGCCCTCATAATTTATACCACTCTGAGCACTGTTGTCTTCCATGCTGCTACTAGGATGCATAATAGACCCGGCTTAAAGAGTTCAACCACTTTTGTAGCCCAGGATTGCAGAGTCCACATTCCGCCGACAAGCCACAGCAATACCTGCTCCCTGGTATCAGCTTCTGTCTTAATCACTGTTTTTTTTTTTTTTAAACAATTCTGTTTTATTGAGATATATAATTCACAGACCACTTGAGGGACACATTTATTTATTTATTTTTATTTTTTTCTTTCCATTTTTTATTTAAATTAGAAACAAGACTATTTCACATGTCAATCCCAGCTCCCCCTGTCTCCCATCCTCCCCTGCCCCCCCAATCAACACCCTACCTATCCCATACCTTTCTGCTCCCCAGGGAGGGCGAGGCCCTCCATAGGGGGTCCCCAGAGTCCGCCACATCCTTTGGGATAGGGCTCAGGCCCACCCCCCTGTGTCTAGGCTCAGGGAGCATCCCTCCATGTGGAATAGGCTCCCAAAGTCTACTCCTATGCTAGGGTTAAACACCGATCCACCACAAAAGGCCCCATAAATTTCCAAGGTCTCCTCACTGACACCCACGCCCATGGGGTCTGGATTAGTCCCATGCTGGTTTCCCAGTCTAAGGTGGATGACAGAGGCCTGACAATCACCCAGGTAATACTGTTGCTGTTTCTGCTCCCACCCACCCTCACCAAGTAACAGAACCACTGTAGCATGAGCAGCACCTAGGAACTTGTTAGGGGGCGTCTGCTTGGGCTGCATTGTAGGCTGCCTGAATCAGAGCCTGTATTTTGGAAGATTTTTTTCCATCATTTTAAAAAGTTTATTTTGCATACCAACCAGTTTTCCCTCCCCCTGTCCCTTCCAGCTGCCTCCCCTCACCTTCTCCCTACTCCCCCCATCCACCCCTCCTCTGTCTCTACTTAGATGGGGTAAGGCCTCCCATGGGAATCAACAAAGTATGGCACATCAAGCTGAGGCAGGACCAGCTGCCCCATCAAGACTGAACAAGACATCCCACCATAGGGAGTAGGATCCAAGAACCAGCTCATGCATCAAGAAAAGGTCCTGATTGCATTGCTAGATGCTCCACAAAAGACCAAGCTAGACAGTTGTCACCCAGATACAGAAGGCCTAGGTCAGTCCCATGCTGGCTCCCTCCTAGCTGTCAGTCAGTCCAGAGTCTGTGAGTTCCCACAAGCTCAGGTCGTCTGTCTCTGTGGGTTTCCCCATCACAATCTTGAACTCCACCCCTTGCTCATATAATCCCTCCCCTCTCTCTTCAACTGGACTCCTAGAGCTGGGCCCAGTGCTTGGTGACCACAGCAACTCCTATAAAAGAAAACATTTAATTGGGACTTGCTTATAGTTTCAGAGCCTTATAGTCAGTCCGTTATCATCATGGTGGCATATTTGGCTCTAGTACAGTAACAGAGAGCTACATCCTGATCCCCAGGCAGCAGGCAGAGACATGGGCTGGGCATGTACTTTTGAAACTTTAAAGTCTCAAAAAAAGGAAAAAAAAAACCAAAAAAAAAAACAGTGATTACACTTCCTCCAACAAGGCCACACCTACTCTAACAAGGCCACATCTCCTGATCCTTCTCAAGTAGTGAGACTCCCTAGTGAGCCTGTAGGGGCCATTCTTATTCCGATTACCATAGTCAGTTTCCCAGATATGATTTCAATATGCCCATATGTCCCTATAGTCTCAACTCACACCTGTATCTTTATAGGGGGTCAGTGCAGGTTGCAGTTAGGATAGACCCAAAGTTCCATAGACTGGATGAAGAGTCCAGAAATGGACCCACATGTGTGTAGTTAAGTGGCTTTTTTGCTTGTTTTTGTGTTTAGACCAGGTTTCTTTGTGTAACTTTGCCTATCCTGGAGTTCACTCTGTAGACCAGGTTAATCTCAAATTTATAGAGGTTCACCTGCTGCCTATGCCTCCAAAGTGCTGTGATTAAAGGTGTATGCTACCACCAACTGGCTAGATAAGTTTTTTTTTTTTAAAGATTTAACTTTATTATTCTAAAGTTATGTGAATGTGTGTGTGTCTGTGTGTAGGTATGTGAACAGGTACCTGTGGAGGCCAGAGGTATCTGCAGGCCCGCTTAGAACTCAACTTACAGGCGGTTGTGAGCCACCTAATGTGGTTGCTGAGAACTGAACTTGGGTGCTGTGCAAGTATAGTGTGTCCTCTGAACTGCTGAGTTGTCTCTTCAGCTTGACTGAAAATATTCTTCCTTTTTTTAGATTTATTTTTCTTGTTTGAGAATTTCATACATGCATAGATATGTTTTGATTAAATCTACCCTCTATCCCTCCCCTCCATCTCCTTCGTCTCCTCTATTCCTCCTAGCCTCCTCTATGGAGCCAGCATAGAGGCATTCATTTTGGTTCATTTCAGTTTACCACAGGAAGGGGTGCTCAGTGGCATGAGGAAAAGGGGGCCCTAGGGGACCTTGAGGGCCTAAGGGAGTCATGAACTGGAAGTAAATAACTTTCTTTCCTTCTGGCTGCTCAGTGGAGCTGGAGCTCCCTCAGGGCTGCCTGAGATAGGGCAGAGCCATGTCAGCAGTCTGGAGGATGACCTCTGAGTCTCAGGAGAGGTCTGGAGGGGAGTCAGGTCCGGGAAGGGGTGAGTAACTGGATCCTATGCTGCTGTTTTTCAGGGAGACCAAAATGCTGCTCGCTTCACCTTGGAATCCTTCCCCTCATAGTGCTTGCCTTGGTCTTCTTTAGGTAAGAATCCAGGCTGGCGAGGAACAGCTCATGAGACCCTCATGGGGACCCTGAGTCATGAGCATCCCCACAACCATGGCAGTGCTGAGGGAGCTCTTGACCGCTCACACAGTGGCATGTCCAGCTTTTGCTTGTCCCCATAGTGAAGGTTTGCTTGCAGGACAGTTGTCTCCCTCTGATTCCACAAATAGGTATGGGGCTGGGTGCCCAGTCATTTGGCCCTAGCCATGAGGGTGTGCCTGGGGAAGGAGAGGGAGACAGACCTGGGGGCTGGACTGTAACCCTCTCTAGTTGCAGATGGTCTGTGACCCCTTACAGAGCAAAGGCACTGCCATGTCTACTGGGGCTTCTGTAGACACAGCCAAGAAATATTCCCTGGTATGGCCTTGTGGTGTTGGTAACTGCCATTGAGAAGGGGCTGTCTGAAACTGCTACAGGAGTCCAGATGCAGGCCTTGTCCCCAGGGTCCTTCCTCTTGTCCCCTCTTCTTCTAGTGGGGTAGGCATGCTTAGTCCTGTCACGTGGCCCTGCACCCCCACTGGGAACCTCTGTGCTCACTGTGCTGCATACAGTGGTGTATTCTGGAGGGAGGCACAGACAGCCAGACTCAGGTCTGTGTCCTGAACAGCTGCCCCTGTGCGTGTCCTTCCCACAGCTATGGGTTCGTGAGCCACAGAAGCCAGGAATTGGGAGACTCAGAAGCTGAGACTAGGTGAGTGGGTGTCGAATGTGTGTTGTGTGTGTGTGTGTGTGTGTGTGTGTGTGTTACTGGCTGCATGAACTTTCTGCTGCACATTGCCTTGTGGCCTCTGCCTGTCCCTCTGCATGAATGGGTCCAGTCCTTCTCTAAGCTGCCCAGAGCAGCCTCAGCTGCCCCTGCTGTCTCTAAAGGGCAAATGTATTGGGGGAGGGAGTACTGTTTTTCCTGTATTCAGTCTCATTCTCACTTTTGTACCTGCCTAGGCATCCATCCCCAAGAACAGTTTCCATGCCCCACCCACCTCCCCAGCAGCCTGCTGAGTGCAAGGGCTTTTGTCTTCTACCACCAGACCCAGGTTGGAGGCCCCTCCCTCCCTACAGTCCCCAGGTCCAGTCAATCTGCCTTTTGGAAGGTGTCCCTTGGCTTTGGTCTGCTTTCCTGGGTCTCCTGTGGTCTTGCACCAGCTCTGCTTGTCTGTCTGTCTCATCTCTACTTTCCTCACAGTAACTAATGGTCCTTCAACACAGAAGGTGAGAGGCTTTCTGAAACTGGATCCTGCCTGCTGACCCTCTCCAGCAGCCAGCAGCTCTGCATTTTGCATAAGCCATGTATGCCCTTCAGCGGGGCTGGCCTTGGTCTTTGTCTATGCTGTGCTTCTCACATTCATGCCTGTGTCCCAAGAAGCCAGAAAATGGCCCCAGGACCCTGGGAACTGGAGTTACAGACTGTTGTGGTCTCCATGTTTGTGCTGGGAACTGAGTCCAGGTGTTCTGCAGGAGTGGTCAGTGGGCATGCAGGTTATGAGCAGAGATGGTTCCTGACCCTTGGGGCTTGACATCCTTTTTTGGGGACAGCCCACTGACACACACTGCCCCAGGCCTTTTGTGGGAAGCACTTTACACAGTTGTTTGGGCTAGTCAAATGCTCAGGCTGGTCTCTGACAGAGACAGAGAGCCAGGACTCTGTGCCACCAGCCAAGAGAGGACCAACATATCTACCAGAGACAGACTTGTTCAGTCTCATCTGGCTTGTGAATTAAAGTAGTCTTTAGCTCTCCCAGCCTTAAGTGGTCCTGCTTCAACTCATCCTTGGCTCCCAGGATCATGGACAGACATGACTTGGTTGCCACCACTCATTCAGGTCTGTTTGCTTGGTCCACACTGCCAGTGACATGCTTCCCACTGACCTTTCTGTCACTTTGAGCTCCTGTGTTTTCTTTTTTCAGAATGGTCTATGCCCAGCCAAAGGTGCTAACACCCAGGTGAGTAGATTTAGCCAGTGCATGTGTAGTCCAGGAGTCAAAAAGGTACTAAAGGACGATTTGCTTGCAGTGGGGAAAATTTCAGTAGCACAGCTGAGGCTCTGGGTCAGTCTTGAGCACCAGAAAAAACAAAACTCAGAAAAAACAAAAATTTATGATTGTCATTGCCCTCACTCCACCAACCCTTTCGGAGTCTTAGGTTTGTCTGATTCAGATCTGCAGCCCAGAAAATCTTGTTTCCCAACCGGGCTTTGCTCCTTGTTTCCTGTCTCTGTCATCAGGGTTTCAGAGATGTGGGTGCAGTGGTTGTAAACTCAGCTGCTTTTAGAGCTTGGTGGAGTTGGGCGGGGGGCAGAGTCAGTGAGAACTGATGCTGAGTGACTCAGGCCCACTCCAGGAAGGTAGGCAGCCCTGGAGGAAGCTGAGGGTGTGGAATCTGAGAAGGTTCCTGCAGGCCTGTTTGGTCATGTGTTGCCTGTGGCTCTCTCTCCCCATGTAGTAGGAATGATGTTCTTGTCTTGACTCCTTGGCTGGCTCCTATCATCTGGGAAGGCACCTTCAACATTGACATTCTGAATGAGCAGTTCAGGCTTCAGAACACCACAGTTGGACTGACCGTGTTTGCTATCAAAAAGTAAGCAGTGGGTTCTGGACAGATGGCTAGTAGGTAAGCACTTTCTTCAGGGGCATGAGGACCTGATTTGATCCCTAACTCCCATGTGAAGGCTGGGTATAGTGGCACACCCTTGCAATCCCAGCACTTTAGGCAGAGGGGAGAGACAAGTGGATTCAGGCAGCTTTCTGGACAGCTTAGCCAAACAGTGAGCTTCTCAGTCAGAGAAGGGACCCTGTCCAAAGAACAAAAAAAGACGAACAACACAGACACCCAAAGTCAACTTCTGGCCCCCACACAGACACACAGGCAAGTTAAACATGAATATATACAATGGGCATGAGCAAACACACACACACACACACACACACACACACACACACACACACACACACGTCAAGGTGGACACCAGGCAGACCAAGCTCCATTCTTGTATGTAATATGCATTGGGGGTGCTGCTGGTTCACTCTGACACCTTCCTGAGGTCTGATGGGTTCACAGGTGAGTGAACCCAGCTCTGCCTCTTTCTAGAACTCCAGACCAGCTGCCCCTCCCTTTGTGCTCTCAGCCAGGTGACATTTGTGTCCCTCAGCACACACTTCAGGTGGGTGTCTTCATTCCCAGGGCTGGCAGTAAGGGACAGAATGTCAGCAGAGCTGTGGTCACTGATGTGTCCTCAGATGCTGGACTAATTGGACAGCAAGGGTTGGGTGTAACATTTAACCTCAGCCCTGGGGGTAGTGAGTAGCAGACCTGTGAAGCCCTGAGACTCTGGGTCAGGCTTGTGGGACCCTGTGTGGAGCAGGACAAGGGCAGCATTTCTGTGTGTAAGGCTGTGGGGACTGAGAGAAGCCACTGTGTGGCCTGCATATGAGGAGTGAGGGCCTTTGTCCTTCTCTGCAGTGCTGGGTGAGATTCAAGGGACACTCTGAGTCCTTTGTAACAATCAGACTTGAGAGAGGTTTGGGGCTCAGCTGGGGGAGGATCTTGGGCACCTTGAGAATGCCTGCAGCTCCTAGGGACAAAGAACTTCATAGTAACAAGACACAAACACTACCTTGTCTGGTGCTGCTGGGTACATGAGCAAAGTTCTGCCAGGTGTGGGAAGGTGCTTGGTGGGAAGAAGCCTCTGAGGGAACCAGCTGGGACCCTATGGTCACCTTTGCACAGGGAACACAGACACTTGCCTGTTTCTGACATTGAAGTACAGAGGCTTGGCGCCCTGACCAGGTGGTGGGGATCCCCTGTTCCCATGGTGGTGGCACATGGCCCTGGGGGGTCATCAAGGGAGAAGAAGCCATCTGAATCAGGTGAAAACTTCTTGGGCTAGGAGATGACATAGAACCCGGGTTAGAAACCTTTTGACCTTGGACCTGAAGGTTTGGCTTAGGCTTGCCCTTTTTTCTTGGGTGTCTGTCTCCCCTTCCTTGTCTACTCTGTGAGATTGTTCCTTTCTCTGTTGGAGTGAATGTGGGATGACACTTGGGGACATAAATGAGTTACCTAGTGCATTGTCCACAGCACCTTCAAGCCTCTGAGGAGGGAGGTCTGGGATACAGAAAGCCCTTCCTTTCCTGAGACAGTGCCTTGGAGAGTGACACAAAGGAGGGATGCAGGTACCATACACTTAAAAATCCATCTATTCCACCAGGGCTTAGAATGTGGGGCCCTGTGAGCACAGGCTCTGCTCAGGCCAATGCATGGGTGTGGGGTATAGACTGTCTTGGGATGGAGCTGTCATTTTTTTGGGGCGAGGGTGACAGACTCATGGAGAGGTGGCTTGCTGAGGGGATTGCCAAAACCGGAGCTATCTTCAGGGCATCTGCCTGGATACCCAGGTCTGGAGTCATCTCTGCCGCCTGGCTGGAAGCTTCTAGGGCTCTGTCTCAACATTCCTTGCTAAGATGTGGTGCTGATGTTGCATCCTTCTGCAGCAAAAGGAGTGTGGGGTCAAATACAGCCAGTGGACAGGTCAGGACACCTGTAAAGTGGGGATGCTGATGTCCTTCTGTATATATGTTTATCTTATTGGTTGATGAATAAAACTGTTTGGCCAGTAGTCAGGCAGGAAGGCTAGGTGGGGCTACTGGACCAGGAAAAGGCTGGGGAGAGGAAAGCAGAGAGTGGCGGCCAAGAGATGCCATGTAGCAGAGGAAGGAGTAACAGGTCTGGACCCTTCTCCGGTAAGATAAGAGCACATGGAAATACATAGATTAATAGAAATGGGTTAATAATTAAGACAGAGCTAGCCAATAAGAAGTCTGAGCCATTGGCCAACAGTTTAGTAATTAATATGTCTCTGTGTGTTTACTTGGGGCAAAGTGGCTGTGGGACCAGGCAGGACAGGAACCTCCATCTTCAGGATGCTGCTGCTTCAAGCCTCTGGGTAGCCATGGTTTCTCCAGGATAGTTTCTGCCCTCGTTAGTCTGGACCTAGCTGTGTTAAACCTGTCCGTACCACTTTGTCCTCCCTCACAGGTACGTGGTGTTCCTGAAACTGTTCCTGGAGACGGCAGAGCAGCACTTCATGGTGGGACACAAGGTCACCTACTATGTCTTCACTGACCGTCCAGCCGATGTGCCGCAGGTGCCGCTAGGAGCAGGCCGGAAGCTGGTGGTGCTGACTGTGCGCAACTACACCCGGTGGCAGGATGTGTCCATGCACAGGATGGAGATGATCAGCCGCTTCTCAGAGCAGCGCTTTCTGCATGAGGTGGATTACCTGGTGTGTGCAGATGTGGACATGAAGTTCAGTGACCACGTGGGTGTGGAGATTCTCTCAGCACTCTTCGGCACCCTGCATCCTGGCTTCTACAGTAGCAGCCGAGAGGCCTTTACCTATGAGCGCCGGCCGAAGTCCCAGGCCTATATCCCCCGGGATGAGGGTGACTTTTACTACATGGGGGCCTTCTTTGGGGGGTCAGTGGTGGAGGTGCACCGTCTCACCAAGGCCTGTCATCAGGCTATGGTGAAGGACAAGGCCAATGGCATTGAGGCCGTGTGGCATGATGAGAGCCATCTGAACAAGTACCTTCTATACCACAAGCCAACTAAGGTGCTGTCCCCAGAGTACATGTGGGACCAGAAGCTGCTGGGCTGGCCCTCCGTCATGAAGAAGCTGAGATATGTGGCTGTACCCAAGAACCATCAGGCAATCAGGAACCGATAGCTGAATTCCTATTGGAAAGGCCAGACCTATATCCAGGGCACTCCAGGCTGTATGGAACTGGAAGGATTTGAGAGACACTGCTGAAGTGTCACCCTCTACCCCACCTCAGTCTCCAGCAGCTCTGGTACCAACCACTTGGTTTAGCATACACTGAGCCCCTGGAGTGACAGCCCCCTTCAGCTCCCACTGTGTCTCTGTGCTCCTATTCAGTGAGATGGTAGCAGGAGCCTCCAGAACATGGGAGAAACTCTTTATCATGCACTACCTAAGGACCTGCACTTCCTAACTCAGCTTGCCCCCTCCTCTGCTAGGAGGTTGTTGGGTTCCCCTGCCACTGATGCAATAATCGAAGTTAAACCAAATTAATAAACCCAGGTCTAATGAACAGGGCAAAGCATCTCCTGGGTGACCCTTGTTTGGGATCCACCAGGCTAGCCGGCCTGCAATTGTCCAAGGATTCTCCTGTCTCTGTTTCTCATTTCTCCGTAGTAGTTCTAGTCTGGGATTACAGTTGCTCACACCACACACCCGAGGGTTGTGAGGATTCAAACCTGGGTCCTCAGGCTTGTCCACCCCTGATAATTTCTCTATTCATTTCTCTATTGCGAATAGAGGAACTTTCTAATTTTCTTTTTTAAATTAATTTTATTTATTTATTTATTTATTTATTTATTTATTTATTTATTTTTGATAGAGGAACTTTCTAATTTTCTTTTTTAAATTAATTTTATTTATGTTTTTTTTTTTTGGTCTGAGTGCTCTGTCTGTATGTATGCCCTCTTGCCAGAAGAGGGCATCAGATCCCATTATAGACGGTTGTGAGCCCCGAGTGCTCTGTCTGTATGTATGCTCTCTTGCCAGAAGAGGGCATCAGATCCCATTATAGACGGTTGTGAGCCCCCATGTGGTTGCTGGGAATTGAACTCAGGATTTCTGGAAGAGCAGCCAGTGCTCTTAACCATTGAGCCATCTCTCAGGCCCTCTTTTTCTTTTTTGAGGTTGTTGGGATTGAACCCAGGGCCTCATGGATGCTAGTAAGGACTGAAGTCCGGGCTCTCTCTTAGAGACACATGACTGAACTTGCTGAGGGTTAGGTTCACTACATTATTTTTATACTCTAATTGTCGTTTGAAATTTCCAAAATAAAGAGATTATTACTTTTTTTCTTTTACAGTGTTGTGATCAAACTCAGTTCCCAACATCAAATTTTACATATTTTTGGTAATGGTGGTGGGGGGGCTATTGTTATTTTTTTCTTTTTATTTATTTTATGTGTCTTTTACATCCATCTTGTATCTTGATCTCATTCATTTCCCCATTCCTTTGAATCCACTTTCTGTCCCTGTATCCCCATCCCAAATAAAACAAAATTTAGGAGGAAAGGGGAAAAAAGAGAAAAACATTAAAAATCTTGTCATGGAAGCTGCAGTGTGACACTGTGAGTCACGCAGCAACACCTGGCCCCTCCCCAGTCCATATGTCTTACTTGCAAGAATTCATTGCAAAGAGTCATTGATCTGGTTCGAGGCCTCTGGTTTCTGCTACACTATCCATGCTGGGCCCTCACTGAGACTGTTCTAGGCTATCCCTTCATGTGCTCCAGCAGATCATAAATGAGGTAGATGTTGGGGCAAGCCAAGTCATAACCCTGGTTCTGGGCCTAGGCAGCTGTAGGGTTGCTTCACCAGCCAGTTCTTACCTGTCCTCACCACCAGGGTGAGCCCTCCAGCTTGCCCCAGCTAATTCACCTCTTACAACAATGAGTGAGGGGTGGGACCAGTTCTGCTTTTGTGTTCTCGGTGTTGGCTCTTCCACACCTGTACCATTAGGGCCAGCTCCATTTTATTGCCCATGTAAGATAAGGGGGTCACTCTTCTGAGTGCTGCAGCTGATGAGAGGTAGGGGCAGAGCTTCCCAAGGCCACCTGTCTCGGGTTGATGGGCGGTAGGTAGGGGGCACCCATGCTACCACACATCTGATGAGTAATGGGGACATCTCTCCTTTTCTCATAACATTGGGGCTGGGTCACCCTCACCTCTGACCACTGAGCAGCTCTGCTGTGCTTCCTAGGTGAGGGGCAGGGCCTGCTTTCCTGATGCTGCAGCTGGTAAGATGGAGGGTCAGCTCTCTTGTCTGTAGGTGGAAAGGTATGAGGGGTCATGGGGAGCATCTCTCACCCTCCCACACCATCACACGACAGGGGAGTAGTGGGGACAGCTCTCCCATGCTTGCAGCTTCAGGGCTGGCTCACCCACTCCTTTGCCAACAAGGTTGGCTCTATTGTACTACCCAGGTGAGGTGCAGAGCCAAGTATTGCAGCTGGTGTTACTTGATTTTTATTGAGGCAGAGTCTCTGGTAGCTCCAGCTTGTTTATGCGGCCAAGGATGACCTTGAACTCCTGACCCTCCTGGTCTACCTCTGCAGTGACAGGATTACAAGCATGCCACCACACTTAGCTCTGATGTTCTTCATTTTCTTAAAACCTCATCTATCTTGTTCCAAAACTGTTTCTGGGTCCTTTGTGTCCTTGGCTAGTTTTCCATATCTCACATTTCCACATCTCACAATGTTCTTGTTTTTTTCTGTGACAGGATCCTTATGTATCCCTGGCTTGCCTGGCATTTTCTACTAGACCTAGATAGCCTGGAACTCAGAGATCCATCTCCCTCTGCCTGTCATCATACCGGGCAAGAATTTTTCCCCCTCTATTAAAGGTGAATAAGCCACCAATAACCACTATTCCATAAACCTCTCCCATCCTGATACCCCATGCATGTGCTATCTGCCAAGGCTTGGACACTTTTTTTTTTAATGATTTATTTTTTTTCATGTGCAAATGTTGGATCCCCTGGTACTGAAGCTTACAGACAGTTGTGAGTGTTGGGAATTGAACCCTGATCCTTTGGAAGGATAGCCAGTGCTTTTAATCACTTAACCTTCAGCCCCTGCCTTGGACACTTTTTTTTTTTTTTTTTTTTGGTTTTTCGAGACAGGGTTTCTTTGTGTAGCTTTGGAGCCTATACTGGCACTTGCTCTGTAGACCGGCCGGGCCTCGACCTCACAGAGACCCGCCTGCCTCTGCCTTCCGAGTACTGGGATTAAAGGCGTGCACCACCAACGCTCAGCTCCTGCCTTGGACACTCTTGAGACTTCCTATCACAGTCTTCTTTTTCTCAGCAATTATAAATTAGCCAATCACATCACATTCTGAGGTCCAACTCCCACCAACGAGGTATGGAACAGTCATGGATTGTGTTACCACAAAACAAGTGAACTTCCTAGCCGGGCATGCGCCACCACTTCCTGGCTGTTGTGTCAGTTTTTGACAACAGCCAAGTTGCTCTGGTTGCAGACACACATTCTATGCCTGGATGTGGCAGTCTGTTTAATCTGGTGATTCCATTACTGAAGGGCATTTTGATTCTCCCCAGGCTGAGATGATGGCAGCCATGAGCATTTGTGAGAGATCTACTTGTGGATCTCCCATTTAACTTCATTCTTTGGAGTGAGACAGGTAGATTGGAGAGAAGGTGAGTAAGAGTATTCCATTTTTTTAAAATTAATTTTTATTTAAATTAAAAACAATATTATTTTACGTACCAATCCCAGTTCCCTCTCTCTCCTGTCCTCCCATCCCCCCACCAACTCCCCATCCCACCCCCATCCACTCCTCAGGGAGGGTGAGGCCACAAAAGTTTGTCACATCATTTGGGGCAGGACCTAGGCCATCCCCCATGTATCTAGGCTGAGAGACTATCCCTTCATCCCAAAGCCCATTTGTACAGTAGGGATAAATAATGGTTCCACTGCCAGAGGCTCCATAGACTGCCCAGCCCCCTCAACTGACATCCACGTTCAAGTGTTGTGACCCAGTATGTCTCAGCCTTAATCCATGAGGTTCTGCCTGTGTGGGGGTGTGTGGACCTGGAAGCGCCTAGCAACCCAGCAGCAATAAAGACCAAACACAGGCATCTTGTCATCTTTAGAGAGCTCTCAGTTTCTTTATTAGCCTAGAGTCATTTCTTTATTAGCCATCTTTTCTGCTATTTCTTAACCATCCTGCCATGACCACAAGGGAACCATTTTTCTCTTTGTTCCCTCTCTGCTCTCTGGTCGATTGCCCCTAACTCCTAACCTTCTGTTCTCACAAGTTACTCACACACCTCTCATCTCCCTGCCCAGGTGCAGGCCTATTCAGATGCTTAGGTGCATAGAGATGCAAATTAGGAGGCATATTACCCTGAGGCCATGGTAAACAATAGTAGCTCTACTGGCATTAACAATACAATAGTGGGCCGGAGCTTTCCAGTATTCCTGTTTAGTGAAACCAAAGGCTGGATCTCAAAATATTCCATAGTGGAAATATTTTGGTCCCCCACATTCAGGGGGCCTGATTCAGTCTTATGCTGGTTCCCCAGCTGTCGGACTGGGTCCATAAGCTCCCACTTGCTCAGGTCAGCTGTTTCTGTAAGTTTCCCAAGCATGGTCTTGACTCCTTTGCTCATCACTCCTCCTTCTCTGCAACTGGATTCCAGGAGTTCCACTCAGTGCTTAGCTGTGGATCTCTGCTTCTGCTTCCATCAGCTGTTGGATGAAGGCTTTATGATGGCATTTAGGGTAGTCATCAATCTCATCATAGGTGAAGGGCATTTAAGGTATCCTCTTCACTATTGCTTAGATTCTTAGTTGGAGCCATCCTTGTGGGTCCCTGGACATTTCCTTAGTGACAGGTTTCTCTTTAAACCCATAATTGCTCCCCTTATCAAGGTATCTCTTTTCTTGCTCTCCTCTTCTGTTCTTCCCCCAACATGACCTTCTTGATCCCTCCTGTTCTCCTCTTCCCTCCCTTTCTCCCCTCCTCTTTCTGCTACCTCCCTCTCCCTTTCCCCCATGCTTCCAATTTTCTCAGGAGATCTTGTCCCTTTTCCCTTCTTGGGGGTCCATGTATGTGTCTCTTAGGATCCTCCTTGTTTCCTAGATTCTCTGGGTTTGTGGATTACAGGTTGGTCACCCTTTGCTCTATGTCTAATATCCACTCATGAGTGAGTCCATGTTTGTTTTTCTGTATCTGAGTTACCTCACTCAGCATGGTTTCTTCTAGTACCATAATTGCTCCCTCATATATGATTTTTAGACACAGAGTGTTAGACCCCCGGAAAACTCAGGTATCCGGGGTCCCAGGCCACGACCTCGGTCACCCCAATCACCAGGCAGATTTGAGAGCTTGCTGCAAACTGCATGAGGCTTTATTGTAATTTAATGAGCTAACCCCTGCCATGGTGGATGGCTACAAAAGACTCTGAGAAGCCACAGGACCGAGATCTTATAGGGCAGTGTAAGGGGAGTGTCTAGGGGTACGCACAGGCTCACTATTGGTGTACCCT